GTGTATGTATGGGGGGGTTGTGTGTATTGTGTGGGGGGGGGCGGTTGTGTGTGTGTGGGGGGGGGGTTGTGTGTGTGTTTGTGTATGTATAAGTATGCTTGAGTATGTAGGCCTGTGTATACGTATGCGTGGGTATGTGGATGCGTACATGAGAGTTTATGTGCGTACATGTGCGTTAGACGAGATAAACCGTTTACTAGATTAATCATCTTCTCTGTCATCTTCCTCGCCCTCATTATTACCAGCACGAAAGATTAAATTCCGTGAAATAATACTCACTATATATATGTATATATTTTTTCTTTTTTCTTTTTTCTTTTTTTTCTTTTTTCTTTTTTCTTTTTCTTTTTTTTTTCTTTTCTATTTTTTTATCATTTGTCATTTTCTATTGTTGCTCTTACTTTTGTTGGGGTTTCTTATCTCTCACCTTTCTTATCTATTATCTATCCATCTGATTATTTTGGTTCCATATGAAACACTTTGTAGGATCTTTTAGGTTAAAAAAGAGACATGAGCAGTATTACAAATTCGTTTTCTCTTCTTTTAAAAGTTGCTTTGAAACTGCCGTTAAATATAACTTTTCTTCCATTTTCTTAATTTCTTACTTTCTTTCATCCAATTTGGTGGGAATAGGTGTAAATGACGATAAAGAAAGAGCGATAAAGGCTAATAAGAGGGAGAAACGGATTGAGCAAATGACCGCGTATAAAGTCATGAGGTTATTAGGAGGTTAAAGCCCAAGCCAACTAAACAATATCCGAACACTGCGCGCACCACGAACACATGATATAAAAGAAATATTCAAATAATATTCATATGTCAATACATCCGGACAACTAAACAGTATCTGCCAATTCGAACACCAAATACTTCTTCAAGCACACCCAACTGCACCTCTAAACGATCGTAAACAGCACCCACGGACGATGATGAGCCAGAATTCACGAACCATGACCCATGAACCACGAACCACGAGCCACGAGCCACGGATAACGAACGACGAACAACGAACTATAAAAACGGACAACGTACCACGAACCACGAGCCACAAACCACGTACCAGGAACCACGAGCTACAAGTTACGAACCATGAGCCATGAACCACGAACCACAGACCAGGAACCACAAACCGGGAACCAGGAACCACGAACCACGCCCATAAACCACAACCCATGAACCACGGACCACGCCCATAAACCACAACCCACGAACCACGCCTTGAGATCCCCGCTCCTAACCTTGCTCAAGGCCGGGACCGGGAGACTTATAGCTCCAAACCGGGCGTGCAATCTCCGTAGAATTTAATCCCCCGCCGGCCATCCCCTCCTTGGTCCCAAAATGCCTTTTAAATCCCTCCTTTGACATTCCGTTCGGCGGGAAGAGGTGTAAATGACGATAAAGCGTGTGAAAGAAGGAGCGATAAAGGGTAATAGGAGGAGAGGGAGAAACGGATCGAGCAACTGGCCACGTTTAGTGTCTTGGCCAATGAAGCGAACTTGTTGATAGGCGGTAATCAGTGTGCGCGTGTACGTTTGTGTGTGTGCGGGTGGGTTGGTGTGCGTTTCTGTGTGTGTGTGTGTGTGTGTGTGTGTGTGTTGTGTGTGCGTGTGTGTGTGTTGCGTGTGTGTGTGTGTGCGTGTGTGTGTGTGTGTGTGTGTGTGTGCTGTGTGTGTGTGTGTGTGGTGTGTGTGTGTGTGTGTACGTGCGTGTAAAAGGAGAGAATATGTCTTTATGTTTGTATCTATCACTTTGCACACGTGTGCTTCTCTCCCAAGAGTTCATTCCCTCCCTCCTTGTCCTTCCTTTACTTCCTTCCTTCCTCCTTCCCTCCCTCTTCTTTCCTTTCCCTTTCCTTCTTCCTTCCCTCCCTGTTCCCTTTCTTCCCCTTTCCCTTCCTTCCTTCCTTCCCTTTCCCTTCCCTTCTTCCTTCCTTCCCTCCTCCTCCCTCCCTCCTCCCTCCCTCCTTCCCTTTCTTCCTCCTTCCTTCCTTCCTTCCTTTCTTCCTTCCCTTCCTTCCTTCTTTCCTTCCTCCTTCCTTCCTCCCCTCCTCCCTTCCCTCCTCCCTCCTTCCTCCTCCCTCCTCCCTTCCTTCCTCCCTCCTTCCTTCTCTTCCTTCCTCCCTTCCTTCCTCCCCTTCCTCCTTCCTTCCTTCTCTGTTCACGCATCCGAAGCATCCGAACACTCCTCCGCATCGTCCGAAACCCATCAGCTGACCACCCACGACGATCAAAGCAATATCAACCTTTTCATGAAAACCCCTTTCAAAATAGACAGTCTTCGCGCCCTCTCATTTTCGAAGCCGAATCAAAGGGCGCCGATAGACAAACAGTATCCGAAGAGCCGCGTAACTGCGCTGTCTTGCTTGTCAATCCGATCTTGGCAAGCCGGCCGGTGTTGTGGGCAGCGCGTTCGTTATCTTGGCGTTCGGATCCGTGGCTGTATTTTTGGAACTTTGATGCGCGCGTTATATTAAGTAACGCGTTTTCTACGTGGGTGGCGGCTGAAAATATAGTCTTTGTGTGTGTGTGTGTGCGAGCGTGTGTGTGTGAATGGTCTTAAAAGAGGTGAATATTGTCAAAAAAGGCGGTTTTATTCGATCCATTTATGTCGTTTCGGATTAGGTTAAAAGCGTGCGTGTTTATTTTCACCGGGTTTTGTCTTTTTCCTTTTGGTATTTTGACGGAGGAATTTTTCACTGTGCATTTCGTTTTTGTTTTCCTCGTCACTGTCACTTCATATATCTATCTGATGTCATTAACCTCAATAAATGACTGAATTTACGCTATCAACAAAGCACAATTTGTCCGTTGTATTTTGTATTATATGTTGATATTATTTGACGCATTTTTTGTGTTTGAAATTACTTTTTTTTCGTTCATTGTCAATTCAAATTTAACTGAAAAGCATGAAAGAAACGATAGCGATAATGATACTGCTACTACTGCTAATGTGATGATAATATTATACAGATGCTAATGAGAACAACTATGATGGTCATGATGATAACGATAGCAACAACAATGCTATTAATGATGATAGCAATGAAGTTGAACGGATGATAAAAATAATATTAATAATATTTATGACAATACTGAAACTATCATTAGCCAAAAAAATAGTGACAATAATAACAAAAGTGATGATGATGGTATTAATGATAATAATTGTGATGGTGATAATGATGATACTAATTATAATAAGTAATACAATAATAATTATTATTATTATAATTACTGATGATAATAATGATGCTAATGATAATGACTATAATAGTAATAGTTATCATAATAGTAATAATGATGATAGAAAAATGATAATAATAACAATATTATTGATAATAATAAAAATAACGATAATGATGATAAAAACAATGATAACGAGGAAAATAATAAGGATAATAATTGATGATGATAATAATAAGGATAATGATGATAATTAAAAGAAATAACAAAAAGATAAAATATAACAAGAAAGTGATAATAACAATAACAAGGATACTGATAATAATAATAATAATTATGATAATAATAACAATAATGATAGCAATAAATCAGACGGAGAAGAAGAATGATAACAATAACAATAATGATATGAAGACGAATGATGATAAGTGAGAGAGAGAGTTGGATGAAGAAGGAGATAGAGGGAGGAGAAGACAGAGAGGGAATGGTGAAGGAGAAAAAGGACGTGGGTGGGGGAAGAAAGAGAAGAGGATGAGAGAGAGGGTAGAAGACAGAAAAGGAAATAAGGAGAAACAGAAGAAAAAGTAGGCATAGTAGATGTAAAGGAAGAAAGAAAGAAAAAAAAGAGAAAGAAAGGAGAAAAAGAAGTAAAAAAAGAAGTAAATAAGAAGAAAAGGAAGAACAAAAGGGAAAAATAAAGAAGAAAAAGTAAAAGAACAAGAACAAGGGGGAGGGGGGTTAAGGGGCGTGTCCAGGAGCGTAGTGGGGAGGGGAAGGGGGGAAGGGGGTGCAGGAGGAAGGAGGGGAAGGGTTATGGGGTGGGACCAGGAGCGTAGTAGGAGGGGGGGAGGAGGGGGTGCAGGGAGGAAGGGGGGGGGGGGTCTAGGAGCTTAGTAGGGGCAGGAGTGGAAGGGGAAGGGGGTGCAGGGAGGAGGAGGGGAAGGGGGTTAAGAGCGCGGGTCCAGGAGCGTAGGGGGTGGGAGGGGAGGGAGGAGGGGGTGCAGGTCACGGTTTTCTACCCGGATGCCCTCCCCCCCCCCCCCATCTCCTCGCGCCACGACCTGTGATATATGACCAGCGCAGCACTCTCGCCACAGGTCGCTCTGGTCACGTACGACCTGCCTGGGTTGGTCACTGCCTTCGGACCGCCCCTCACGACCCTCCGTGGGCCAGGGGAGAAGGGGGAGGGTGGTAGGGGGGTAGGGGAGGGTCGTGCGTGCGTGGTCCGAGAGGTCGTAGAAAAGGGCGTGTGTGGTTGTGTGTTCGTGTGGTTGCTTGCCATTGCGTGCGTGTGCTTGGGGTTGAGTATGTGATGAGTATGAGTATGTGTGAGTGCTCATGGGTCTGTGTGTGTGCGTGGATGTGTATGAGGAGAGAGAGAGAGAGAGAGAGAGAGAGAGAGAGAGAGAGAGAGAGAAGAGAGAGAGAAGAGAGAGAGAGGAAGGAGGGAGGGGAGAGAGAAGAGAGAGATGCGAGAGAGTGAGAGAGAGAGAGAGAGAGAGAGAGAGAGAGAGAGAGAGTGAGAGAGAGTGTGTGTGTGTGTGTGTGTGTGCGTGTTGTATGAATGTGAGTTTTACCTTTCTGTTTGCTTAACTGTCTATGTAACTCTTTTTCGTTCTCGCTCTCTCTCTCTTTCTTTTCCATCATTCTTTTCTTTCGTGTGTGTGTGTCTCTCCCCCGTCCTCTTGCATGTGTGCTTGCAAGCTCTGTTTGCGAATATCCAACACATTTATTTATCCTTTTATTTTTTCGTCTAATGGCTTTCTCTTTTCACGAATCCTCAGCTTACACTTCAAAGAGAACTTGTGTCTTAAATAGGAGCTTGAGAACAGAAACCCCTTCGTGAGCAAGCATATATTTAAGGTCAATCCCGGTCGAAAAACTCTCCCACAAGGAAGTCAGTGGCGACGCGATCAGACACAAGAATCCTTCTCCGATTCAAACAATGAAAACCGTTACGCAAGCATTTTGGCGGGAAAATTCTTCCGAGCCTTTTTTTTCGGTTCTTCCTGTAAGCGAAAACCAGCTTTATTGCATTCCGTTCGAAAGGAGGGAGTTGTTTCAATTCACCTCTTTTGATCTCTATTATTAGTTCAATCTCGTCAGGGATATTGACTTTGCTCCGAGAAAAATTCCACCTTTGATAGACAATATCTCTGAGGCTTTTCTCTTCCTGGTATTTTAAAGCATTAGAATAGCAGAGAATTTAATCTGCTTCGTTTCTTACTTCAACAAAACTCTAGACTTAAAATAATAACAACTAGAAGAAGTAAGAAAGCGCATACCTCCGCCAATGCAATAAAAACAGTCACACTTATAATTGCCTTAAAATTACCTCTTTCTTGGCGGAGACAAAGCAATCTTGCAAAAAATTCCTGGATGCATCACCACCAAAATTTCATGGAATTTAAGTTAGGCTAAGACTGGTAAAACAAATAAATAAATAAATAAACTATTAATAACTGAATTGTTTATAACGTAATTATTAATAACTTGGTAACTCTGGTAATATAAATAAATAAATAAATAAACTATTAATAAATCTATAACTCATCCATTCATAAATTCCTGCCAACCAATGAACATACAAACAAACTAATTAACTAATTAACTAACCAACACCAAACGAACAAACCTCCTTGGCAAGTAATAACACACAGTCGATTCTCGAAGCGAACGGCATTTTGAACAGCTTTCCGCTTCCAGAACATTCTTCGGCTGACGTCTCTCGTAATGTCAGGTTCGTTATGAATTTACGCATTAATGAATCTCGATAATGAAAGAGGAAAATTTTAGTAAAATGTGTTCGCATCTGTTAACTCGTACATTGTAGCGCATTTTCTCTCTCTTTCGTTCTTCCCTCCCTTCCTCTTGCCCTGTCGTTCTCTCTCTCTCTCTCTCTCTCTCTCCCTCTTTATATAATATATATATATATATATATATATATAATATATATATATATATATATATATATATATATATATATATAATTATATCTCTCCTCTCTCTCTCTCTCTCTCTCTCTCCTCTCTCTCTCTCTCTCTCTCTTCTCTCTCTCTTCCACTCCACTCTCTCTCACTCTCACTCTCACTCTCACTCTCACTCTCTCACTCTCACTCTCACTCTCACTTCTCACTCTCACTCTCACTCTCACTCCACTCTCACTCTCACTCTACTCTCACTCTCACTCCCTCTTCCTCCCTCTCCCTCCCTTCCTCCCTCTCCTCTCTCTCTCTCTCTCTCTCTCTCTCTCTCTCTCTCTCTCTCTCTCTCTCTCTCTCTCTCTCTCTCTCCTCTCTCTGCTTCTCTCTCTCTCTCTCTCTCCTCTTCTCTCGTCTCTCCTCTCTCTCTCTCTCTCTCTCTCTCTCTCTCTCCTCACTCTCTCACTCTCACCTACTCTCATCACTCTCATCTCACTCTAATTCTCTCACTCTCACTCTCCTCTCACTCTCACTCTCACTCCTCTTCCTCCCTTCCTCCCTTTCCTTCCTCCCCTATCTCTCTCCTCTTCTCCTCTCTCTCTCTCTCTCTCTTTTTCCCCTCTTCTCTCTCTCTCTCTCTCTCTCTCTCTCTCTCTCTCTCCCTCTCCCTCCCCACCTCTCTCTCTCTCTCTCTTTCTCTGTCTATTCTCTCCTCTCTCTTTCTTTCTTTCTTCTCTCTCCCCCTTCCCTCCCCTCCCTCTTCCTCCCTCCCTACTCTGTCCCCTCCCCCCTCCCCTCCCCCTTCCCTTCTTCCCCCCTTTCTCCTCCTCCCCCTCCCTCCCTTCCCTACACCCTCTCTTCTCCCTCAACAGGCACACCCAACCTCTTCCTCTCCTTGGAAATTGTTCAAATCTAATTAACCTAACCTAAACCTAACCTAACCCTAAAACCTAACCTAAACCTAACCTACCAACCTAACCTAACCTAAAACCTAACCTAACCTAACCAACCTAAAACCTAACCCTAACCTAACCTAAACAACAAAACCTAACCTACCAACCTAACCTAACCTAACCTAAACCTAACTAGCCTAACACTAACACAGGGAACCTAACCCTAGCGCAACCTAACCGAGGACAGAAACAAACATCATTTTTATATTCGAGCTTTGGACGAATTTGCGACGAAATGAATGGCGTCAGAATCTTGGATAGCATTAATTGTTGGCTGTGACATTCAGTATCCGGGTTTGGGAAATGCTTCGTGGTCATCTGCTGAGTGGGAAGTTTGAACATGATCTTAAAGAATATGTGAGAATCATAATGTCAGGAAGGGTAGCTGTTTTATTAGTGAGATTACAATCTTGATATTTTTTTTAATTATTGTTCTGTTACTATGATCAGATTGTTAGTAGTTAATTGTTCAATTTTTTATTTTCTTAATGTTAGCATCATTATTACCATATGCCATCATTAGTGGACTTTTACATTATTATCATCATCAAGTAGCGACTCGTGCGTGGCTCACCCGTCATCCTATCCTCATTAATTATCATTTAATCATTGGCATTGACATTCATTGGCATTGACTTATTATATAATCATATCATTATCATACATTAATCATATCAACCCATTATCAAATTTATCATTACATTATCATTATCATCATTATCATCAAATTAATCATTAATATATCAATAATAATAATATCAGTAATCAATTATCATCATATCATTATCTATCATATCAATTATCATCATACCATTAATCATCATTATCATCTTATCATACTCACATATATCCATATCAATCATTATCATCATATCATCTCATCATTATTCATCCTTATCATTATCATATCATTATCATCATTATCATCTGATCATCA